GATATAGAAGAAAGAAGATTGGCCATGAATTTATTAAACTTTTCTTTCTACTCTGTCTGTTTTGAATTTTTCATAAATTACACACATACTTAAAAGATACTCATTTCCTGACAAAATGCTCACCTTCTGATTATTTCCCAACAATCTCCCATTTCTCTAAACACAGATTCCCTGCTTCAGAAGTGCTATTTACAAAGCTTGAAAAATGTCCTTACTGTGACAGATTTAAGCTATTAACCCACAAAGCATCCTAACATAGTTCAATGGGTAGGATGATGCAGGCAGTTTTCAATTCTAGGATCTTTATGAGAAATTCTATAATAAGGTTATAGAAGCAAATGCCTGAGACACTGAACACAACCAGAAGCAGTTTTCTCAGAACAAACTGTACACTCTGAATAAATCTAGCTTGGACTCGGCTCTGCTAAAATGCTGGGAGACTAGTGAAGTTGTACTGCCCAGCTTCTTCACTGCCTTCTTATCAACAAAACCTACACATCATTCCAGCAACGGGGAGAGTCCAGCAACACGTACCAAATGAACAATTCCTCCACAGCCTCCTGGTATCATCAGTATAGCAAGAAAAGTAAAACAAAGCCAGTGTTAACAGGAAAGTATGCCCCCTGGTTTTAACCTTTTCAAGTGGAAGCAGCATAAGGCTTTCCCTCCATGAATTAACAATTCTATTGTTTTACCTAAACCACATCTGCCATTGTCAGACAGCTATTTTAAAAGTCAAGCGCAGCAAAATGCTATAATGTCTACTAAAAGATAGTAAACTACTGGAGTAAATTACTATAACAAAAACCTGTTTTCCTTTCATTTCTCAGGACATTACAAATGACATTATATTTATATTATTTTCTTTCTTCCCTTCTTTCCTTTTTTTTTTTTTTAAGAAACTTGTTTATTTGGGGGCAAGAGGATACAAGCAACATAAAAATCAAAAGCTTATCTGGCTTTATTGGATTTTCTTCCTCTTGCTCAATGTTGTGAGATTTTTATTTGTATATTTTTTTAAGAGTTCCAATCTGCTCACAAAATTCTTATAGAGGGGAGCTGTGGGGCACATATTCCATTGGGAGGACTCTTATCAGGGTGAAGTAGCTGCTCACTTCCTTCCCTTGTTTCATGTGTACTATGAAATAGTCACTGCATGTGATGGTGAGCCCAGGAATCAGCGAAAAGCAGCTCTGGAAGACCACTCTGCCGTCTGGGCACTGGTTCAGGTTCTTCATTATTTTGTCTATAGCCAGAGGGGTTTTTTTGATTTTCCAAAAATCCAGGGAAATCCTTTTCCATGAGAACTGTTAGGTCCTTCTCTGTTAAGTAGTCTTTATCCCCAGCAAACTTATGAAACATGAACATCATAGTTTTCATGGCATGTTCCATTTGAGACAGCATTTTGGTGAGGTCTTGGCAGGAGGCACGGCAGGTCACCGGCTGCTGGGATGCGAGGCCAGTCTAAATCTATGTTCTTAAATGTTAAACACTAGATACTGATATAAACTGAATATTAAGTGTTTCCACATTATCTTCTGAAGACAAAAAAATTCACATATTGGCTGGTGTTGCTCAGTGGTTGAGGGATGGCCTACGAACCAGGAGGTCATGGTTCGATTCCCAGTCAGGGCACATGCCCAGGTTTCAGACTCGATCACTAGTTGGGGGCATGCAGGAGGCAGCAGAGAAATGTTTTTCAATCTCAATCTCAATCCCTCTCTCTCCCTCTCTCTCTCTCTCTCTCTCTCTTTCTCTCTCTCTCTCCCTCCCTCCCTCCCTCCCCCCCCTCCCTCCCCCTCTCTCTCTCTGAAATCAATAAAAACATTTTTAAAAATTCACATATTGTATTAGAGACTATGATTACTCAATCTCATGGATACTAAGCCTTGTTTGCATCTCCTTAGGAAAGGATTAGGTACCATAACATTAAAATTCAGATATTTGGTATTACTCACTACCATCCAAGGAGACAAAATTCAACTTCTGATTGGCAACCTTTAAGCAAGCAAAAACTTGCTTGATAAACTTTGTCATTCCATTCAAAACATAAAATTCAGCCTTTCGGCTAGAACAGCCATCTTCCAGTAATTGCCAAAGTGACTAACACAAAAAGAAGAGAGGACCAGCTATATGTTCTCTAGGTCTTTTAGAAAACATGGAGTTGTTCCTTTGGCCACATATATGTGAATCTACAAGAAAGGTGATATTGTAGACATCAAGGGAATGGGTTTTATTAAAAAGGAGTGCCCCACAAATGTTACCATAGCAAAACTGGAAGAGTCTATCTACAGTGTCACTCAACATGCAATTGGCATTATTGTGAACAAGCAAGTTAAGGGCAGGAGTCTCGCCAAGCGAATCAATGTACGTATTGAGCATATTAGGCACTCTAAGAGCCAAGACAGCTTCCTGAAACGTGTGAAGGAAAATTATAGAAAAAGAAGGAAGCCAAAGAGAAAGGTACCTGGGTTCAACTGAAGCATCAGGCTGCTCCACCCAGAGCAGCACTCTGTGAGAGCCAATGGAAAGGAGCCTGAGCTGCTGGAACTCATTCCCTATGAACTCATGGCATGATCAGCAGAAGCAATAAAGAAGACTTCTATGCTGATAAAAATGTTTCTCTTAATTGGTAGAAGTGTGGCATCCCTTTCCCCAAAGAATAATTAAAGAAAACTTTGTGTCCTAAAAACACACACAAAAAAACCACCACCATAAAATTCACATAAACTGCCATTATGGTGAGAATTTACTCCTCCTGAACTTAGGAAATAAAAAATGTGGCACAAAATAAATCCCAATACATCCTATTAGTCAGAAAAAGTAAGAGAAATTTACATTTACTGAGTACCTATCATGTATCAGGCAGTTCTGCTTAATGCTTTCTCTGCTATCTCATTTAAAATGTAAATTAACCCCCTGAGGTAGCTCCCTTATGGCAAGTTACAGATTGAAAACTAAAAGATTAAAAACTTGCTTATGACCATAAATATAAAAAATGTCAAGGCATCATTATCAACCAAGGTCTGTCGATTTCGGAGTCCAGGAATCAAACTATTCGGTGGATATCATTATCATGAGAATCTTAAAGAAATTCAACAGCCGAAACTGGTTTGGCTCAGTGATAGAGCTTCAGTCTGTGGACTGAAAGGTCCCAGGTTCGATTCTGGTCAAGGGCATGTACATTGGTTGTGGGCACATCCCCAGTAGAGGGTGTGCAGGAGGCAGCTGATCGATGTTTCTCTCTCATCAACGTTTCTAGCTCTCTATCTCTCTCCCTTCCTTTCTGTAAAAAATCAATAAAATATATATAAAAAAAATTTCATCAGAAATAAACCAACATTTAAACTTGGAAATAAACAGACAAGTTCAGCTTTCTTCTCCAAGATCAACTTCAAAGTTTATGTAAAATAAATAAGCTATTTGTATAAGAGAAAGACATTCTGCACTGAAAGAGTGAATTGGAAAAATGACTTTTATAGTCCTTTAAACTTGTAAATTTCTAAAATTAATTCCAAGTGGTCAGAATTATATTTATCAGGATTAATACCATAAATCAAATAATCTCAGGCAGTTTACTTCATGACATCAGCCCACATTACTCCACTCAAACCTCATTTTCTGGTACTTTTGTCCAGATTCCTCTCATCTTTTCTTCTCATTTGATAATTTATTTCCAATTTTCATTAACAGTATACACAGAAAAATTAAAAGGGCAAATCTGAACTAAGGGCTCCAAACAGGACATCTTCTACAATGTAGGGAAGTAACATATCTTACAATGAAGGGGTTAGCATAACCCATTCCCATGTCTAAGTACCCTCACAACACTACTCCTTTATTAACCCTACTGTGTGAAAAGCTCCCATCATTTCTGAACCTCAGGTTGTTCAAGAAATTGTACATTCACCTCATCAGACTCAGGAGAAAGCAGTACCAAGTATTAACAGTAATTATCTACAGCTCAAAATTTTTCAACCCAAGTAGAAGGACTTGTAGAATTAAGTGAAATGCCAAAGAGTAGAAAAGTTGGGAGTAAAATATTCACTAAATGAACCCAAATCACGAATACCACTTTCCAATTTATAAAAAAAACTATCTGCACAACTATTTTTAAAAATGTGATAACTTTATTAATAAAGAGTCTTAACATGATGGGCTTGAGACTTTTGAAGCTGCCTTTAAAAAATGCCATAGTCATAATGTTCCTGAAGCCATAGAAAACCCGCAGGAGTTTTCAAACATGAACCATGAAGGTAAGTCTGGATCACATCTACAGGGATGCACGGGCCCCCTCTCTGGCCCAGGCACCAAGGCTCCCATCCCTCGTGTTAGGATGAATGTCACTGTCAACTTCACAGCTCTCAGGTCACTGTGGCTCCCTACCCAGTGTCTGAGCAGTAACTGTTGGCGATTTCAGTCCCTCCGTTCATCCTTTGGCCACAGGGTGTGGGCAGAGAGGCTGAAAGTTATTTCGTCTTACACGAAAAAAGTTAAAATTAAGCCACAACGTTTTCCTTGTCTAATTGCACAAACTCTACAACTAGGCCTTCGGGGACATGCATGGATTGCTGGCTCTGGGGAGACAGGAGCTCGGAAAGGCAGGGGAGCTGCAAGGATTTCCATATGGGAGGTAAGCGGCGGGGCTGAGTCCCCACGTTGGCAGCCCCATCGGGGCGGGAGGCTCCGGGCCGCCAAGTTCGCACGTGGGCCGCGCCGCCGCTGCTGTCACCTCCCGTCGCCTGTGGGCGGGTGGGATGCAGACCCGGGCGCGGACCCACAAAGGCTGGGGCCGGGGCCGGGGCCGGGGCAGGGCCGCCGCCGCCCCGCCGGGGAAGTCCGAAAGGCCACGCCGCCCGCCCCGCCAGGGCCTGAGCTCGCGCCCGCCCCAGGGCTCGCAGGCCCGGGCGGCGCCCCTGGGCCCCGGAGCCCGTCCGCCCGCCCGGCAGGGGGCAACTCCGCCCTCGGCGGCGCCGCCCGCAGCCCCGGCCCGCACCCACCTTGACGTCCTCGTCCTCGTCCTCGCCTTCCCAGCGGTCCCCGCCGGCGGTGCCGCCGGCCCCCACCTTCCGCACCGGGTCTTCCACGGAGAACGTGTCCGCGTCTACGGGAGAGAGCGAGGCGCGTTAGTGCCGGCTTGGGCGACGGGCCGCGCCCTGCCCCCTGAACTTCCCCTCACCCCAGGAGTCCGAGTCCCCCGCCGCCGCCGCCGCCGCCGCCGCCATGTCGAGCCGGGAGTGAGCGTGTGTGAGGGGAGCGCCAGCGCGGGGCGGCGCGGGGCCGGTGAGTCACCGGATTCGCTCTCGTTGGCCCGCGCGGGGCACGCCGGGACCGTGGCTGACTGGACGCCCGCGCCCAGGCCCCGCCCCCTCTGGCGGCGGCGGCGGCGGGCGCGCGGGCGGGAAGGCGGCGCGTTACATGGCCGGCGGGGCCGCCGGGAGCGCGGGAGGGCGTGGCGGACACTCAGCGCCCACCGACGCGGGGAGAGGGAGGAAGCGGCGTGGGGACCACCACGCCGACCTGCGTCCCGTGGAGGAAGCGTGAGTGCCGGGAAGTTAGCGGGGCGGCCTCTGGCCCGGCCCTCGCTGGCCCTCGCCACTATCCCACCCCGTCCCGACCGGTCGTTCCCTTTGGTCGCCGCCGGTGGCAGGTGGCGGATACCAGGAGACGCCCCTCTCCCCCCACGCTCGGAACCGGGCTCGGACCGCCATGTCCGCCTGTGGGGCCGGGGACGGTGGACGGGCCTCCCCAGCCCGCAGAGGGCGCAGCGGCGCGCTGAGCGCGGGGCCCGGGGTCTGGACGCCGCGCGCCTGGCGCCCGGGAAGGAGCGAGCGCAGAGGCGGGTCCCCGGCCGCCTCCCCGCCGGGGCGCTCGGACTCTGCTCCTGGCACGTCTGCCCCGCGATGGTCACGAAGGGATGGAAGAGAAGACCGGAGCTCGAGGATTTCCCCTGCCCGCGAGCCGCTGAAGGCCGGCACGGGACTCCTCCTCTCGCAGGAGAACCTAGGAACTCGGTCTGCGCGAGGCATCGACTCCAGCCTTGTCCTCGAGGTCCGCACCGTCAAGTGGCTAAGATAGACGCGTAAATAAATTTTGACTCAGCGTGATGACTGAGACAAAAAGCAGCATTGTGAGGTTAATATGAAAAGGTAACATTAACCGTGGGAGGGAGGGTGGGGGGGAGTATGCGTGAGATTAGCGCAGCGGACACGAGTTTGAAAGACCAAGTGAAATGCGCTCAAGTGCATTTCTGGAGGAAAGAACACAAGCGGTGCGTGGCCTGGCTGAGGGGTGAGATTGGGCTCGAACTCACAGGTAAGCTGTTCATAGTAAAGGGCTGCGGACAGGCCGCGCTGCATTCTGACCTGTGGGTCACTGGGCTCCACTGCAGTGTTTTTGAAAGTGAACAGTTGGAGATAATTTTTTTTTTTTTTTTTGCTGTTTTCTTAATTTATTTTTGAATATGTAGCACACAGACTTGGTTATAAAAGGGAATGTACAATTATCAACCATTCTGTTCTTTCCAGTGGTAACTGTTGTTTCCCGTTTCTTGTGTGCCTTTTCAGAGGGTGTACAGATACACATGTTATAAAGGTGGTCTCTTTCAAGAGATACTCTGCAGTCACGTTACTCAAAGTTTGTTCCCAATCCCGCGGCAACCCCTGGGGAGCTTGTTAGCAATGCAGAATCTCAGGCTATCCCAGACCTAATGCATCGGACAGAATCTGCCTTTTAATAAGATCCTCAGATGATTCTGCACATTAAAATGAGTGAGGCAGCCGAAACTGGTTTGGCTCAGTGGATAGAGCATCAGCCTGCGGACTCAAGGGTCCCGGGTTCAATTCTGGTCAAGGGCATGTACCTTAGTTGCGGGCACATATCCAGTGAGGGGTATGTAAGAGGCAGCTGATCGATGATTCTCTCATCGATGTTTCTAACTCTCTCTCTCCCTTCCTCTCTGTTAAAAATCAACAAAATAGCCGGTTTTGCTCAATGGATAGAGCGTCGGCTTGGGGACTGAAGGGTCCGGGTTAGATTCCAGTCAAGGGCATGTACCTTCCTTGTGGGCATATCCCCAGTAGGGGGTGTGCAAGAGGTAGCTGATCGATGACTCTCTCTCATCGATGTTTCTAACTCTCTATCTCCCTTCCTCTCTCTAAAAAATCAATAAAATATATTTTTAAAAAATCAATAAAATATATATTTTTAAAAAGATACACAGAATTTAATGGCTGTGATGGTTAATTTTTTGTTTCATCTTGGCTAGTCCATGGTACCTAGTTTTTAGTCAAACACTAGTCTGGTTTTTGCTGTATTTGTTAATAATCTGCTGTACTCAGCCTAGTTAATAATATATACAAATGTATTTGTTAATATATACATTTGTAAGTATTATTTTTTTAAATATATTTTATTGATTTTTTTACAGATAGAAAGAGAGAGGGATAGAGAGTTAGAAGCATCGATAAGAGAGAATCATCAATCAGCTGCCTCTTGCACGCCCCCCACTGGGGACGTGCCCGCAACCAAGGTACATGCCCTTGACCGGAATCGAACCTGGGACCCTTCAGTCCACAGGCTGACTCTTCTGCTATGATATCCTCCAGCTTCACAGTCCATTCACTGCATACAGTCAGTTTGCTTATGTAAAAATGTAAATCGGCCTGGCTGGTGTGACCCAGCCGTTGAGTGTCAACCAGAAACCAAGAGGTCACCTTTTCCATTCCTTGTCTGGGCTAGTCCCTGGATTTCAGACGCAATCCTCAGTGCGGATGCATGTAGGAGGCAGCCAATCAAATCGGTGTGTCTGTCTCTCTATTCCTCTAAAAAGCAATAAAAGCATTTAAAAATACATATATTTTTAGCCCGGCTGGTTTGACTCAGTGGATAAGCATCAGTCTGTAGACCAAAGGGTCCTGGGTTCAGTTCCTCGTCAAGGGCACATACCTTGGTTGCAGGTTCCTCCAGACCCGGGCCCTGGTCAGGGTGCTCACAGTGTGTTTTTCTCACATCGATGTTTCTCTCTGCCTTTCCCTCTTTCAAAATCAATGGAAATATATTCTTGGGTGAAGATTTATATATATATATATGTGTTAATTAAATATGTTTTTATTGATGTCAGAGAGGAAGGGAGAGATAGAAACATCAATGATGAGAGAGAATTGTTGATCGGCTGCCTCCTGCATGCCCCACACTGGGATTCGAACCCACAACCAGGGCATGTGCCCTGCCCGGGAGTCGAACTGTGACCTGTTGGTTGAGTCAATGTTCAACCATTGAGTTATGCTGGGCAGGGTAAACATTAAAAAAAAAAAAAAAAAAATTGTAGCCCTGACAGTTTGGCTCAGTGGATAGAGCCTTGGCCTGTAGACTGAAAGGTCCCAGGTTCAATTCCAGTCAAGGGCTTGTACCTTGGTTTAGGCACATCCCCAGTGGGGTGGGGGTGGGGGGTATAGGAGGCAGCTGATCGATGTTTCTCTCTCATCGACATTTCTAACTCTCTATTCCTCTCCCTTCCTCTCTCTGTAAAAAATCAATTAAAAATTAAAAAAAAAATCTAAATCAGATCTTGATTCCCCTTCTTCCCAGAAATCTCTTTAGTGTCTTCTTGGTTTGTTAATCCTCACACAAGGATATTTTTTCATTGATTTTTAGAGAGAATGGAGGTGGAGAGACAGTGTGAGAGAGACACATTGATTGATTGCCTCCCACATACACCCTGGCGGGGTCGGGGTAGGGATTGAGCCTGCAACCCCAAGTACACATGCCCTTGACCTTCAGTCCTCCCAGGCCGACTCATACTCTATCCACTGAGCCAAACTGACTAGGGCATCTTCTTGTTTTTATTTTGTTTTTGTTTCTAAGTCTTTATTGCTGAAAGTATTACATATATCACCCTTTTCCCCCCATGGACCCCTCCCAGTCTCCCCCTTGCCTTAGGCTTTCACCACCTTATTGTCTGTGCCCATGGATTATGCATATATGCATACGACACTTTGGTTGATCTCTTCCCATGCCACATTCGGAGGATGTCTTATTGTTTTTGTTTTGTTTGTTTGTTTACTGTGGCCTGGAAGGCCCTGGATAGACTGATTCCTACCTTCCACCAGCCTCCGTGTGCCATTGTCTCTCATTAACCTCATTGCTACTGGCCCTCTCAGGCTACTAAGGTTTTTCCTATTTTTGGAATTTCTGCTTACAATGCTCTTCCCACACCTCTTTGCATGATTGACTTTATTTCTCCTTCAAATGAAACTGTAGTTACCTTTGCAGAAGGGTCTTTCCTGATCTTTCTCCTGCAAGAGGCCTCCCCGGTTACTCTTTCTCATTACTCTCTTTTGTTGTAGCATTTATCACAATCTCTAATGACTTCATTTATTTAATATCTGTTTGAAGCATAAGCATCTTGTCCTGTTCTTTACTACTGTATACCCACTGCCTGGCATATAGTAAATGCTCATTGTATTTGAAAATGACTATCTGATGCCTGTCGTCACAGTAGGAATTAAATTAAGTTTTCGCCACACAGGTTGACATTCCTGTGGGACATCCAACTAAAAAGGGCTAGTACATGTTTGGAACTACAGAAGCCTGGGTAGAAGATTAGGAGTTATATGATTATGGCCGTGGACAGAATAATGTGCAAAAGGCCACCTGAAGATAGGATAGAATGAGAAGAACCTTGAAGGCCATCAACATTTAAGGAGCAACCAGATGGAAAAGGTATGGAGAGGACAGAGTAAGGTTTTAAAAAATTCTGAAACCGGTGGATAGAGCGTCGGCCTATGGACTGAAAGGTCCCAGGTTCAATTCCTGTCAAGGGCATGTACCTTGGTTGCGGGCACATCCCCAGTAGGGGTGTGCAAGAGGCAGCTGATTGATGATTCTCTCTCATGGATGTTTCTAACTCTTTATCCCTCTCTCTTCCTCTCTGTAAAAAAATCAATAAAATATATTTTTAAAAAAATAAAAATAAAGAATTTATAGCACTGTGGAATATAGTGTTTTTGAAAATTCATTTGTTAGGTGTCAGGAGACCTGGATTATAGACATTTAGGTGATCAGATTATATTGAACTGAACACTGGACACTTCTGGTGGGAGGTGGGGAAAGCTCACAATGATTCTTCATTGTCTGGAAAGTGTCCCAGTACACAAGTATAAGTGGGTTCCCCAAAGCCACATTTGCTCCGTTATCATAGCTAGTTTGGGAAGGGGGGTCAGAAACATTAACTGTGAAGTTAATAAAGCCCTAGCTCCAGTGTCTCATTGCATCAGGTCCTCATTTTTCAAGAAGGTCCTCCAAATTGTATATACTTCAAATGATACCGTTTCCCTGAAAATAA